TCACCCTCGATCTCACCCTCGACCTCAATCTCACCCTCAATCTCACCCTCGACCTCAATCTCACCCTCGATCTCACCCTCGACCTCAATCTCACCCTCGATCTCACCCTCGATCTAAATCTCATTCTCTTCACCCTCACCCTTATTCGATATCTGCAATTGCCAGTAAATTCTCGATACCGCCAATTCCTGTTCTTTATTCGATCCGTCCCCGACCGCTCATTATTCGATACGACCTTTGGCGTTCAGTAGGTCACAGGGTGTTATTACTCGATACCTACCAGTCTCACGATTTCGTTAATAAATCCACGCCTGGACTAGAACTATAGTCGATTGCTCCCCTTCCAGGTATATTCGATGTATGCCCAGCTGTATTCATTCGTATATTTAAATGATATTTGATGCAATCGATAACTAGTCGATACCAATTTGAAACTTTCACTATTATTTATCATTGCAACATGTTTAAGATCAAAGATTCGATACCAGCCGCATGTGTGCTCATTTGTGATAATTATGTATTAGCATGTATTCAGTATTAGTAAATTCCTACGTGTCATCTTTCGACCCTGGCACTATTCGCTACGTATTTATAGTAACGAACAAGTCACAATCTTTGGCTGTAATCATTCAATACTAACCGTAACCTTCAAATCCAGTTATCAGATATTTAATTTTGTTGATTGCTTTTTTGTTCATTGATATTTTAAAACTATCCCCCATATTAATGAATTAGCGGAATGCCGCCACAGTGAAGTGACAAGGGACCACCTAACATGCCATATTCATTTATCAAGTATCTTGACTTGTTTATATAGTCAGTGTATTAACAATTATATTATATTTTGGTTTCGCTTAGAACATTTTCTATCTGTCATTTTGTTCATTTTGAAAAATGTGCTTTCTAAGGGCTTACTAAGGTTTGAAACATTTCCTTATATTTCGACATTTAAAAGTTTTGCTAGATTTGTCTTTCACCTATTAAAGCGGCTTTTCTGTTTTTCTTTTTACTGTTGCTTAACAAAACTTTTTAAGGTAATTGTTTCCCTTACTCAAGCAGTTATTTCGGGTTGCTGTTACCAACTTCATAAAAAAGACTCCTCTTGGAATTGTGGCTGAGTGTTCTACCTTCAAAATCAACTGTGTTTTATTCCTTTTAAGTCTTAAACATTTTATTTGTGAGGTGATGTTGTGATATAAAACCCCCCACAAACTTTTAGATCAAACGATCGGTTCACAAGACTCGTGGAGATTAAGGGAAATGACTGAGGAACTGGCTTTTGAGAGAATACTTTACAAAGATTTATGGGACTTGGAGCCTTTATCCAAGTATTCTATTATTATGTGTGATCTCTCCGTCTCTCCTGCCTATTCTCGGCTGCTTTCTCTCTCTGTCTCTTTTTCAAAAAAGTGTTTTACGGCGATCGCAACTGCATAAGGTCATATGAGTGCGCGGGACACACTGAACTTTTTCAGTTGGTAGGAAATTTTGAATTTTGCCTAGGTGGCGGCCGAAGCCTACTTTTATCGATTTTGGACCACCAAGGGATCTTTAACGTGCACAACTTGTACACGGACCCTCCAAAATTTTTCGCCCTTGTCCAAAAAGGCTCGGGGTAGATCTTTCCAACCAGAAGATCAGGGTGTGTCTGAAAGACAGCAGTAAGAAGGAACCAAAGAGAAGCAGTGGAAAGACTGAAGAAAGAGTCAGGAGCCCAGAGGAGCTGGCAAAAGAGGTGAGGGGGTGGGGGCAGAAAAAAGGAGACGAAAGCAGACGACAAAACATTGCTAGAGAGCTGGAAAGAAGGTGAAGGAGAAAGTTTTAGAGAAGAACATTTTTTCGGTCTCTACCCTATTCGAACCCGGGACATTTGAATGAGTGGCGAACACCTTAACCTCTAGGCCTCTAGGCCCCCAGAGCCCCTTCTCTTTGTCTTTCTCTCTCTGTCCACTCCCCCCCCCCCCT